GAGAATGGTCACCTCGACTGTGAGGCTCGTTGTTCTTGAAAATTTGACTAAAGTTTTCCCCACTGTAGCCACCAAACTCCCTCCAGTGCAAGACACTGTTAAGGTATTTATTGCCTTTATACACACACACACACACACACACACACACACACACACACACACACACACACACACACACACACACACACACACACACACATATATATATATATATATATATATATATATATATATATATATATATATATATATATATATATATATATATATATATATATATATATATATATATATATATATATATATATATATATATATATATATATATATATATATATATATATATTCCTTTTCTACATGGGTGTTTATTGATGCTTCACTTCACAAGACAATGCGGTTGACACGACTGTCAATGTGAATGTTGATCAAACCACGAAGACTGTTGGCAATCCTACTGACTCAACGCCTCTGTTTATCCCTCAAAGGGTCGACGAATTTTAGAGGACGTTGACAGAGGAGAATCCAGTAGCACAAACAATCATTGTTGATCACACAAACGAGGCTGATGGGGATAATACGACCATTGGTGATAAAGACAATCATGTGATCATCCCAGTCGCTATTGAAAGTACTTTGACTCCTCGAGGTTCAGCCAAAGGCGGCCCTTCTGTTGAAAAGATACCCACCCCAAAAGAAATCTTGGCTATGAAGAAATCCAACCCAGCAGAAGCCTTGAAGGCTCTTCTCAAACTTTTCCAGTCGAATATGGACGCCACCCCTGCTGGTTCGAAGGCCACTCTCAACCTAGAGATGCATGATTCGTTCAAATTGAAGCTTAAACAGTTGAAGACTTATTTGTTTGAGGATGAATTCCTAGATGTAGGGGCAGAAGAGTCGGCGGCGGCCTGCGACGTTTTTAAAATATGGATGAACTCTCTCTCTCTCTCTCTCTCTCTCTCTCTCTCTCTCTCTCTCTCTCTCTCTCTCTCTCTCTCTCTCTCTCTCTCTCTCTCTAGCGTGCCTCCCTCTATGGCTAAGTACTTCATTGAGTTTGAGGCTTTCTTTACTCAGCTGGCGAAGGATCTGTCAATGTGTAAGCAGGTCGATGCCCAAATCAAGGGAAATATTAATGATATGTAACGCGCGTGGTATCTCAGCTCTATTTGTGAGAAAAAACTTGAAGATTTTGAAGCCACAAAGAAGGAGCGTTTTGACAAACGTCAAGCCTTCGACCAGCAAATATATGACTATCGAGCCCAGATGGCGGAACCTGAAAGAAAACTTGTTGAGATTGAAAAATAGAAGGCTTCTTTGGATTCTGATGGTCCTCTACCAGCTCAAGAGGTAATCGACCAGGAAGTCTCCCAAGGGATAGCCTACATCAAAACCGCCCTTGCGCTAAAAAGACCATCGACCAAATGCGGCAGAGAAAATTTCTCTTGGAAAGCAGGGTGGATCATGAGAGGACCCGCTTTGAAGGCTTCAAGGCCAAGTTTCCTGCATAGCCGTAATGTTTTAATCTTTATTGATATTTTGGTTGTAACTCCATTCTGGAGACATTTTGTAACTGTGTTAGCCTTCCACCACCGTAGGCCAATTATCAGTGAACATTATTTTGGATTCGAACTTCTTATACGTCTATATTTTTTCAAATATTTCCCATTTATTCTTATGATTCGTGGGTCTTCACCAATTTCCTGAATCTCGTATGCATTGTTGCTGAACGTTTGGGTTATTTAAAAAGGTCCCTCCCAATTTGGTGACCATTTTCCTAAACTTCGATCCCGTCGATCTACAGGGAAAACCGTTTTCCATACATAGTCATTAACTGCAAAGGTCTTTTTCTCAACCTTCTTATTGTATGCTCTTGCCACACGTGCCTTTTGGCGTAGTAACCGGTCTAACGCCACCATCCTTTCTTTGTCTAAGTCCACCATCTCGTCTAGCACCGTGCTCCAATATTGCTCCGATGGGATGTCATACTAACATTGCACTCTAATTGACTGTAGACAAATCTCCACTAGAAAAATAACATCATGACCGAAAGTCAAAGAAACAGAGTGGAATTGGTCGACCCCTTAGGAGACATTCGACATGCCCACACAATTTGATCTAACGTCTTATGCCAATTTTTTGGTTTCTTGGCGACGCGCTTCTTAGTGAGCCCAATTAACACCTTGTTGGCCGCTTCGACTTCCCCATTTTCCTGAGCATAATAAGGTTTCCAAGTGATCAACTTGAACCCTATTTCTTCTGCAAACTCTTGCATCTTCTGGCCAACAAACACGAAACCTTGATCCGTCATGATGGTTTCAGGAACCCCAAACTTGTATAGAATGTGGTTCTGGATGAATTCAGTTACAGTGTCTTAGTCTACTTTTACCAAGGGTAAAAGCTCTATCCACATCGTGAAATAATGTATCCCTACAAGGATGAATTTCTACTGTTTCAACGAGGCTGGTTGAATCTCTCATATAACGTCTAATGCCCAACCATGAAAAGGCCATGGCTTAAGATGGAGTGCAATTCACTGGCTGACACATGCTGGATGTTTGTGTGTCTTTGACAATCGTGGCACCCCTTTGGGCCATCCTAGGTGTATGTTCACCCTCACGGGGCTGCTGGTTGATTGTTTTGTCAAAAACTTTGTCTTGTCGAACTGGCGTCTCCGGTCGAGGTGGAGGCGCCTGTCGATCTATGGCCCTAGGAGCACCTAAAAAATCACCTATCCGCATCATCTGATTTGCCAACTGTTGGTAACTCTGAGTCGAATCGTGTATTAGTGGCCATAATATGGTGCCCATTTGTTGGGTCAACATGTGGACCATTTCGTGGTTACTTTCGTCCATTTATTGCCTTATAACGGCGACGAACTTGACGTAAAAGTTGGGAATGAAAGTGACGGAACACTAAACCCTAGGGGCCTTGTAACTTGGTTCGTCAAAGGTCCTAAACCCTGATAGAGGAAAACGCTGACGAAGAGCTTTCCCCAAAGAGTGGGCCGCTGTGATGCAAGCTCGACATAAACTCTGTCGACATCCTCAAGGCCCTAGGGTCTAGCATTTTGAAACTACTTCCCCCTAATTCTTGTCACCATGGACCTAGGTTCAGGCCGACGCGACGTCATGACTGGCCCCTCATGAGCCGTCGACACCGCAGACACAGTGTCAGTGTTAATGTCGGTTGTTTGAGTCACAATCGCATTTCCCTCCAAAGACGGTTCTTCGTTTGGACGTGGTATCACCATCTTACCACTATGCAAATGCATACACTTAAACCATACAGTCCCACTGGGTGTGCCAATTTGTTCGCAAGCTGTTTTCGCGCGAACAACCTCTGACCACCTAACGCAGGTTTACTTGCGGGACCGGTCAAACAAGTCCCATAACACTTGGTTTGGAATGTATGGGAAAGTGGTGGAATGGTGTTTGTTTGAAATAAGTTGGGAATTACTTCTAGTAAAGACTGAAATTTTAACTAAAGATGAATACACATACAAAGGAGGTAAAAATGACAAAACAAGACACTCTAGAATTAATGATGTAAAATGCTTATAGAAAGGGAAATATGGATGTGATCGTACATTTTTGTAGGACTGAAAACTCTTCTCGTAATGTTTTGGTACTCAGAGTGTTTTTCTTACAATATTACAAAAACGCGTCTTCCAAAATGAAAATATGCATTGTCTTAAATAGGGAAATAAATAACTGCCATATTGAATCTGGTGACGCCACGTGTTCGCCCACGACTTGTGTAACTTCCAACGTTCTTGGATTTCAAATTCATTTTCCGCTCGAATATTTGTCTCCTTGTATGGGTTTTAGTCGGCCCAGTCGACCGACACCATCTGGGTCGACCCAACAACTTTCCTCTTGTCAATATCGACTTTCTTCATCTTCTGCAACATCTTTCCTAGCCTATCGATCAGTCTCTGTGTCGTTGCTCTCTCGCCGAAACTTCTATTAAACAACAACCCCAAACATAAAGTCCAATGAGACGAAGCGCTTAAGAGAAAAAATCATTGAGATAACCCAACCATTGCATATAAACCCAGATCCAAAATCCGATCATTGGAATTTTGCAGGATGTACGCATACCGTGTTCAAATAATATCACTCTAAATTTTACTGCTGATATTTTTTTGTATAACATGCCAACAAATAAAACTATCTTGATGACTATACAAAGTTATTAGTCACTTGTACGGGTTCCGATGATGCAATGAGCATGTGAAAACCAGAGGGCCTATCTAGCATTGAAAGGTTCCACTATCCCACTTTTAAGTACTAAATGCATACCATGGATTGGATAGGACACAAGAGGTCCATGCCATAGTTAGTTATACCAATTTTCTATAGCTAAAAATATAACAGCTATGTTATATTGACACAAAAGTTCACATAAAATCTTATCATTTCTCTTGCTTGTTAAAGTTGGGGATGAATGCATACAATATTATTATTATAATGAATGAGAAAGAAGAGATAATGGATGCCAAATGAAAGAGGTCACATCTGCACGTGGTTGCCGATTCTTCTTGTTATTAAACTACACTGCCATTTTCCCACTAAAACCGTTGAGTCTTTCACCACATAGCTGTTGCTAGCTGTCTCTAATACTCTCCCCATGTGACCCTCTCTCTCCAAAACCTTAGGACCTTATTATACATATACAATTATTAACATTACATCACACACATACCATAATCTAAGAAAAAAAAACATATCATAATTTTCTACATGACACAATATGGTGTAGGTCTTATTGCCTCTCAATCATCTCTCTTATGTCTCCCTCTGGTTTTAGAAACCCAAGAAAACAAGATTTTGAAGTAAAGATTTGTGGTTGTTTGTGTCTTGTTTGTTGGTTAGGTTGTTGAGATTTCTCTCTCTTTTCTCTATCTATTTTTCTCAAATACTTTGACACATATAACACAAACCCAATAAATTCGGTGAAAATTCTCTATATTTGGGGTCACATAGCATACACATTTGGGTTTAATGGCACAGTTACCTCCTAAAATACCAACCATACCCCAAAATTGGCAACATTTTTCTCACCAAAAGGTATCATCATCCTCCACAATGTCAAATATCACCTCTACAACCACCACTGATCATCAACAATTACCGTCATGGATCGACGAATTCCTCGACTTCTCCTCGGTAAGACGAGGAGCCCACCGGCGTTCTGCTAGCGACTCTATAGCCTTCCTCGAGACATCGTTTCTCGAGGAAGACGGAAAAAGTGGTGGTGATGGAGATGGTGACTTTGATAGACTGGATGATGAACAATTAATTTCCATGTTCTCTGACAATGTTGGCGGCGGCGGTGTCTCGTTCCTGCCTCCCCCGTCAACCTCCAACACGTCGTCACCTTCCTCCGACCAAAATAGTAACAACAATGAAGAGAAACCAATGGCAATGGTGTTGGATTCTACTGCACCAGTGCAAGAACGTTATCTTCATCACGAGGTGAAGCCTAAGGATGAAGCGGTTGAAGATGAAAGCTCGTGTAGAATTGAGGAAGCGGTGGCGGAGGCGCCATCTTTCGCCGCAACCATCACCTGCACTGAAACCGTTGTTGATCCCAAGAGGGTCAAAAGGTAATATCAATTAATAAATTAATTATAATCTTGGGAAATTTAATATTATTTTTATTGTTAATATATGATTTAGTAGTAAATTCATTCACCAATCACCACCACCCATGCACGTTCTATTTATGATATTTCTTTATAAAATAAGCTTGTTTGTTGAATTAGTTGCCACAAAATTCTTGCATGGATGGCCCAGTCTTACACGTTAGTATATTTTAAATTAAAAAAATAATAGGCAAAATATCACTGTTTAATCAAATTATGTATTTTAATTTTTCAATTAAAATCAAACTACATATCCAATTTCCATGCATGAGTAGAACCAAAATCAAATTAATGAATTTCTTTCAACTTAATCAAAGATTATGTTTTGGATTGAGTGTTTCTTCCCCGCTTAAGTATAGATTTATACAAAAATAAATAAATTTATGAGTAGATTAAATTGAAATATTTACTGTAGAGAAACATGGGTAGAAGTCGATATTGTTATGATGAAACTCTGATATTCCGTGAATTTTTAATTATTACAATTTGTCTATATAGACAAAAATATAATAATTGTTTTTGATAATTTATATTTGATCTAAGTAGTTATATTAGTTAAGTAGTTAATTCATTAATCATATACCAGAATTTTGGCAAACCGGCAATCAGCTCAGAGGTCGAGAGTGAGAAAGCTGCAATATATTTCTGAGCTTGAAAGGAGTGTAACATCTTTGCAGGTAAATAATTAAACAAATAACTTATTTTTCATGTTGCATATAAAATTGAAATATTGTAGTAATTATTTAAATATTAAAATGTGAAATTAGACGGAGGTTTCAGCATTATCACCACGAGTAGCATTCTTGGACCATCAACGTTTGATTCTTAATGTCGACAACAGTGCCTTAAAGCAAAGGATTGCAGCATTGGCTCAGGATAAGCTTTTCAAAGATGGTATATTACCTAATTTCTTTTATATATATATATATATATATATATATATATATATATATATATATATATATATATATATATATATATATATATATATATATATATATATAAAATATTTTGTTAGTGTGCGATGTTGTGGAATCGAACTTGAATCTCTGTAATCAGATGTTGTTGCATTGTTAGTAATTGATTCTTATGCTTGTGAATTTGTTAGCTCATCAAGAAGCATTAAAGAAGGAAATAGAAAGGTTGAGACAAATCTATCACCAACAAAACATACAAAAGATGGGGAATTCAATGAATAATAATAATAACAACAACAATGGTCATTCTCTTCAATCACCACCAACATCACAACCACACCAACACCCTTTCCATAATCACTTGGAATGCAAGGACAAAGAGCAACTCCTTAGTTAAAAGGGAAAAAGTGGATGATGTTATTATGTTCCTTGGTGCTAACATGTGATATGTTCCTATCAAAGTTGATGTGGGACCTTGACACACATTTATGAGTAATTGGAGGGTAGGAAGTTGACATGTGGAATTGGTTCTAAATAGATTGGTGTTTTTTTTTTTTAATTTGGGATTGGTTTGGAATTATAAGATTTAATTTCTTATGATTACACTTTTTTAACAGAAATTATTTTCAATGTTTTTAAATTTTTTTTGGGTGAAATAAGGGGACAAAGAATAGTGGGCTTTTATTGGGATATGTATGAAAATGGAAGCCATTTAGAGACTTATTTTCTCCTTTTTTTGTGTGGAGGAAGGGTGTGTTAATTGATGTAATTTTCTTGTTGTTCACTTTGGACTAATTGTCTATTAATTCAAATTTCTTCTTTTTGTTCACTTCAATTTGTAAAATTGTACAAAATATTCTCTTTCTAAGAACTCAACTACTTGATCTAATCTTTTACTTATGGAACTTATGTTATATGTTACAGATTTTGTGTCATCGAATTTCTGAAACTCAATAATCATGTTGAAGGCATATATCTATTGATGGTCTTTAGAGTTACTTATAGGGGTGTGCTTATGAGATGATTTCTGATAACAGTTAAATGCAGCTATCAAAGAAAATAAACATTACTTGACATTTTTCTAGTCAAATACAGTTTCCTACAAGTTATGATGATTATAGGTTTTGTTGATTATGACACGATGTTGTCGCATTTCAGAGTGGTGGTTGAAGAAGAAAAATGTTAACATGGGCCGATTTCTGAAAAACACTTCATGATTCACACGTGGAGAAAGAAAAAGACAGAATTTTGGATTTATAACAACTAAATGTTACAAACTTAGAGCAGAATACTCTAACTAACCTATCTAACAAATTAAGGGCTCAGTTCTTTATAACTAACTAAAATTAAGGGTTTGTTAATGCACCCTATAATAATATTATTAGAGTACTATATAAAAAATACTAAAATGTATAAGAAACATATAAGACATATGCTAATTCTGAATGACGTTTTAGGAGTGTGCATTTTATTGATCTGAAGATGCATCTTTGAAATCTGTTTGTAGATACATTTTTGCAACATTATGATACAAAAACAAAAGCAAAAAATTCAGAAAGTTGTATTTTGACGAAATAAAATTATAATTCATAACACAAAATCAACATTACGTAGGTGATCTCATGACATAAAATCAAAAATTACATTTCAATATTTAGGTGGACGCTTCAATATCTTCACAATATCTTCAACCGATCTTGAAATCGTCGCTTCCAACTCGATTAAAACTTTTGTTTCGAAACGGAAAAGTGTATTCCACATAGCCCTTACATTTGCATCAATCTTGAGTTCATAGTTGTTAAAGTCAATCTTGTCTTCGTTGTTAATTGACAGTGAACGGTACTCGAGCTTCACAATTTTTCGATTATCTCCGTAAGGTAAGGGATTATGCACTTCATATTGCGAGTCTGCAAAAGAGGTGTACTAATTGAGGTTAAACTTTCGTCCAGGTGTCGCGCTGAAGAAGGAGACATTTGTGACATATCAGATGATGTTTATTTGTGACATTTGAGATATTTTCTGTCTATATGAAATAAAAAACAACAACCTAAATTTATAGAAGTTGTAGACAAATGTCGACCTCAAAATCTATCATGTACCAGTGCCGGTTTCATTGATAGATTTATGATACCACCCTATTAATTTATTTCGGAGATACATCTCTAGAACTTCTCTTGAACCATACAGAAAACATAACCTGTGTTTTTTGTTTGGCAAATTGACAACTTTTTTGGCAAACATCAAAATGTATTAAAATATTTGAAATTGTATATATTACACTTAATTAATATTAATACACAATTAAATAGACTTAATTGATGACAAAAAAATATATATATGAATCGGAAGATTTGTCGCCGGCTAAATCTATAAGTATGGGTGGTACCCCCTTTGACTTTTGTCCATTTAATTATCTTTCAATGTTGCCCAATTTCTCAAACTCTTACGTCCTTTTCACAAATTGGTCCGACCAAGTCTCGACTTTTATTGTTGAATGAGTCGTCCACTCCACTGATGTAAGTGGTATAGCGCATCCCAGTTTCAAATAAACTTCAAAAAGGTGTCATGATTTTGAAAGTCACCTAATACACATAATACATTCATTTGGTTTTTGAGGTAGGACGGTGCGCAGTGGGAAAAAGGTTTCTGAAAAACCGTATCTTGTAAGATCAATACACACTCTATCATATGCACTTGCTATGAGATGACCAATTTCAAGGAAACTAATCCTTTTTTCTTCAGTGACTGTTCACTAATGCAAGGAACAAGAGACTCATAAATTGCATCAAAGTTTTCTTTCTATCCGTAAATTTGTTTATATGATTCTTTATGGATCATCAACTCGTGGATAAGTTGATGGAAGGAAAATGTATAATTATCTTCTCCTTTATCGAGTAAAGTCGAAACCGGTCGATAATCGCAATTACCATCGCCCTCAACATTGATGATCTGCTCAATGTATTTGTGCATAAAAATTAACATCTCGTCAATAAATGGAAATTTTGGTGGAGGCGGTGAAAGAGGTGGTTCGCCAATGCAGGCTCCTTTAAAAACACTTTTTTGAGATATTGGAGTTGGTAAGTCTGGAAAAACTTTGTCAATATGTTTAAAATACGAAGGAGGCCGCACTGTTGAATTGTCACTTGATGTAGACTTCAGCATCTTCGGAGCACTTTTTGTTTTTATCGGTTGAGAGCGTGGTTTCAAGTCAGTGGTTTCCAAATAAGAAATCTTCCTCAATTGCTCTTTGATGTGGAGTTTCATGTTGTCATCAGCTTTCAAAAATATATCTTGTATCACTTCCCATTCAGTTAAGATAGAGATATTCGATTTACCATCTTTCATGATACCATCATCATTAAACTTAAGCCTTTTCCAGTGACTGCAAACTTCATCCATTCTCAGCGGGCTACCAAGTTTCACCTTCTTTGCAATAATACAAACACATAGTATACCATAAGTTTGACAATTCCGCAACCATACTTTGCGCTATCGAAGCCTACATTATCAACCCATTTTGCTTCGTGAAAAATATAATTCAAACCTGCTCGAGATATGTTACCGACCAACTGAGAATAAAGATTGTTGTCTTTAAATCCGTGTTTCAACATTGTGGTGCTTCAATAAAATAATGTTTGTATCTCATTATGCTGGTTCTGGATCATTTGGTTCATAGAGTTCTAATATCTACACAAATCGCCTTTACTATTTTCCAACCAATTTTTCGATGTAGCATAGAAAGACTCAACTCGGGTTGTTGTTGTATTCCCAAGGTGTCTAACCTGATCGGTCCTTGCACAAACAGTTTTCTCCTTCACCTGGTCCAGAATTGTGCTTTTAACATATTTCAGCAAAACTAGATATTTCTCACGCACCTTCCTGAAATGCATAACAAAATCGACATATAACTCTTTAGTAGAAGAATTTACTATAACATTCCATGCATCCATTATTTTTTTCACTATCACACCCGCCTTCACCATTTTCCATCTTCGGCCTTTACCTGTGTCGCCCCTACCGCAGGTTTAACTCGACCTATCATATTCTATGTTGTGTGATACCTACAAGGTAATGCATAATAAGTAGGAAATACCTTTGCAACCGAATTCATCAAAGCAGTGTCGCAATCGGTAACAATTACTTTAGGAATCTCTTCTTGGTCCTTCAACATTGTCTAACACACCTCTAAGATCCAAGTAACATTTTCCTCTTTTTCTCTCTCTAGAAATGCAAACCTCACAGAATATGCCTTCTCAGTAGAGGTAACACCAACCATCTCCAATAATGGAAGTCTGTCCTTGTTGGTATTGTATGTTGAATAAATGATGAGCACATTAGGAAATGTGTTGAAAAACTTAATAAAATGATGATGAGTCTAAAAATATCTCTAATGGTTACTATATCCTTGCATGTTCGGTACCTGAAAACATAATTGTTATCAACTAAAAGTTTCAATAATTGTTGCATTTCGTATCCCCCTTAGCGCCTTGTTATTTTGGTACTGAATATTGTATACTTGCTTGATATTTAAGATATTTTTGGGTCTTTTATGTTTCAAAGTTTCAAATATGTTTTTCGGTTGAACCAAAGTCAACGTCATGTCTGAAACACATTCCTTCTTTTCCGGCATGAGGAGACACAAAATTGGATGACCGACTAACTTTTCACACAAGTCATGGTTATGTAAACCACATACAATATTAAATCTCTATTTCTTATTTGCCAACATATAACCACACGACTTAAAGGGGCACTCACATTTTATTGAACCTATGTTATCTCATTTAAAATTCCGGAGAGAATGTCTATATTTTCCACTTCTTTCGCATGTCATCATCACAAATGTGTCATACTCTAGATTTTGACTCAAAGATTCTTTTTTACATCATTTGCATAGCATAACATGCACTTCATCTTGCGTAGTGTCTGAAATGCCAGTCAGAATAAATTTGTTAGATTTACAGACAAACCGGTCTAAATTTATTTCAAAATCTGACCAAATGCTGTATTTTTCCAATATGTTTATTTCGCGCTGATTATTTTGGTGTGTTCATTTTATTTTTTCGAGCACTTTTCTGCCCGACTTTTTATTTTGTTTTTTAATCATTTTTATTTAAATAATCGTTTAATTTATTTAGATTTAATTAGATATTTAATTTAAATTTAAATTTTTATTATTTAACTTAATTTTTAATTTTTTTATTAATATTTCCTTTTAAAAAAAACACAAAAACATAATTTTTAATTTTTTTAATTCTTGTCTTATCATAAAAAAAACACAAAAACATGATTTTTAATTCTTTTTGTTCTTGTCTTATTATAAAAAAAACACAAAAACATGACTTTTAATTCTTTTTATTCTTGTCTTATCATAAAAAACACAAAAACATGATTTTT